GAGCTCGGAGGTTTCGCTTGTGGCGTTCTTTTCCTAGTGTCGACATGCCCCGCCTTTCCATGGTCGCCTGAAGTCACTAATCGACACCAACTGTAGCAATCCGTCACCAATCGATACCAACTGACACCAGTCACCAGCCCTCTTTGAACAGTTAGTGGTGGGCGCCCAGAGGGCTGCCGAACCGACAACATTACCCTGTTAGGAGGGGACCCTCGGAAGACGCTATAGGGGCATGCTAGCCACAAACCACTGGATTCAGCACAGCAGCTCCCACCCACACAGCGAAAGCCGGCGTCGGCACTTGGTCTAAAACATCCGAAAAAAGAGAAAACTGTGCGAGACCGCAACGCACACCGTGGTGATGACCTTCCCCAAACTAACCATTGTGTGCCTAACTAAACTAACCATATGTGTCCAATGCCCAAACGGGCCTGAAGATAGCCGTCTAGCTGGCCTTTCAGTTCATCTAACTTGAGATTCGATACGAGGTCAAATCGCGTTCAAGTACCTACCTAGCTCTATTTAAGTTTGAGTGTTTCGACATGCCGTAGCATGTGTTTCTGTGTTTATCTGCCACGGCGCCGAGCACGAGTGTTTGTTTGTACACCCAGCTCTCGTTGTGTCCACTGATGTTATCATAACATTATTGCATACGACGGTATCCACAAATGTTATCATAACATTATTGTATAATTGAGACGAGCACCGCCTACTTGGCCACGCTACCAATCAGTCGAGTGTCGAGTCTGAAAAGTTGTGTCTAAACGTGCCCCCTCACCGCGATATCATGGAGACCCACAATAAGAAAATAATGACGGTCCAAGCGCGAAGCCTTAAGCAACCGTAACTTCATGCATATCACATATGGAACGCTCAAGCAGAAATGAATGATAAGAACGCATCCATTCAGTATAAAAACATGTGATACGAGATGCATGGAAAATGGAGCTCAATCTGGCTTAGTTCACATCAAACCAGTCGAGCGTGGTGAAACGGATAACTTTAATGAAGACCTTACTACACAAATACTGGAGCGTGTAAGATAATCACGATACATGTCAGGAACTTCGTGAAACTTTCTGATCATCTTATTCCAGCCCGATTGTGTTAATAATTGTGGGTCTTCCGATCTCACATGCTGGTATTTGTTCGGATGTGGAGACAAAACAGTATGTGTGTCGACGAGCGGGAGCCACCGGCACCAACCAGACATCGACAGCCGGCCATACTGTTCGCGCCAGTTTCCTCTAACTTCTTCCTGAACGTCGGCGAATACCCGAGTTCTGAGAACGCTGGTTACGGCCAAACGGGCCGGACTGCCTACGGCCAGGACGTACCGGTAGGCATATCTAAAATCACTCCAATACACCTACCCGCAAAGGCGCCACATAGCAGCTTTCAAATCAAAGCGTCCATGTTTTTAATGTCGTTTTAAGTAAGGTGCCAATTAACAGCCCACCGACAGCTCAATGGCCATTCGAGGCTGGCGGCCGTGACAAGCCAGAAAGCAGCGGACCGTTTGCAACTCAGCCTTAGTCCTAACTCCTATCCAGCACCGCCACGGCCTGCGATAGTGCCTCGGTCCCTGCACATTGCAAACCGGTAGTTCCGGGGCCATTGTCCAGTGCTGGGCGCCCCACACCGCTCTGTCGACCACCCTCCTCCCTAAACGGCCGACAGCGGCGACGGGCCCGTGCAACGCATGACTACATTTTCCTGTCATTTTTCAAATATCCATGACCGACGCTCCTTTGAGCAACGACGCACGTCCCCGAGATTTTCCCGTGATATGGGGTGACAGATAACCCCACCGCCCACAGACCTGGCGTGGGGCGAGCTCACAAAACTGACAGTTTAGCGCACCATCGGCTCACGCAGTTCATGGGTGGCGCTTCAAGTCATTTTTCGCAAGGACGCTGCTTTGGAAGCCCACTGGTCAGCGGTGAAACAACGGTCACAACAACAGGTCACACCCCCTTTTTGCGTCAATCACCGGTATATGCGTTTTATCTTGCATCAAATTTGATATGGTGCAGCCTATCTTTTGACTCCAGGAAACGGAATAAAAGTACAACCGGACAGGAATCAGGTAGGTAAGCAGTAAATAAACAGTGAGGCAGGCTCATTACTGTCAGAAAGTTATATTTTTAGTGACTAGCCGACAGCCGTTCATTATATTAGTAAAACAGCAAACCAATGGTGAAGGTTCACCTCTGCAGATCGGTTTAGTGGCCCGATTTCTACAGTCTGCAGATAAGATCCTTCCTCTCCCAAGTGCTGCACTTTTTGTTCAATACCAGTACATTCTTCACATACCGCCTAACTATTCGACATTCCTGACCTAGTTATGCTTCTCAATCGTAAGGGTTTCATGTAGTAATTGGTATATTTTCACACAGAGAGCGTAATTAGTAGATACTCAGTTCTAATGCTACCATGGTTTCCCTTGTTTCACCCAGCATTGTCCCCCCAGCACCCTCAGCGGGTGATTATGTCCCCGCCATTCACCGCTCACTTCCAGGTCACACCCCCTTATCGGCCACCATGCCAGCTCACGTCCTGTGAGATTTAAAACCACAGCACTCGGCCTGTGGTCAGTGTGTGTCCCGCACCTTCCAGCTGCTCCCCGGGCCACAGAATCGCGTCACGGCTGGTCGCTACCAGTATTGTAATCACGAGCGACACCGGTCATGGAGCGGGGACAGGCGGGAATAGGGCAGCTCTATAACAGCCGTCGGACCCCTCCCTCGTCCCGAAGCAGAGAACATGTCACGTTTTTACCTTCTTAGCCTGGCAGAAAGCTTAACTCACTTCAACAGTAAAAAAAAGAAAAGCAATCGGTTCAAGATTGCAACCAAACGAATGCTGGGGAACATTCCCATAGATTGGTGGCAAGATTTTCAAAGTTGTTAGGTACAACGGACTGGACCAGAGGAATCTTTTTCCGAGCGTCACGTAGACGCATGGAGGCAAAATGCCGCAATTCATAGCCGTACTTACAAGCACAGGGGACACCTCCGACCAAGACCGGCAATGTCCGCAAGGACTAACAACATTTCAGCGGACCCACGTCATATGACCAAACGGTCGAGTGCGTCACGCGACTTTTTCAAGTGACCCGTGACGTGCAACCGTCAATTACACCGTGCCTATGTTCACCTCTTTTCACTTCGCACCAGTATACAATAGTGTGGTCTCATTTTTTTCACTCGCGAGTTACAGCATAATTGTGCAACTGACTCCGACCGTTGGCGCTAGTATGACGTAGTATGCCATTACCATGAACAGTTCCATGAAGAGAGGTCTTCGGAACCCCGTGAACTCTGCAATGATATGCAGGCTGACCGGTCCTTGCATCAGATAGTAGCAAATGTTCAAGGCCAGAAATACTGACTCCGCTTAACAAGTAGTTATTGGTATAAAACTAACGACTCTGAGCGATTGGATTGCAGGAACTAAACCCGCTTTATGAAACTAGCCTTCGCATAAATCGTTCAACGCAGATGTTTGCTAGCTGCTGATTTTGTAAATATTATAATCCACTAGACTTTGACGGTGTCCATTTGAGATGACATTAGAAAATAACACAGTCGTAGACTAGCACGTTACTAGCCAAAACCCTGGCTTGAGCCAACTCAGACTTTCCCGCCGTCCGTCGCCCACGTTTGATGATGATTGATAACCCGCCCACCGTCTACATATGTCGAGAGACGGACACGGGGCAGGACGGGCAGTGTATGCGGCATTACGACAGGTCCCGCGGGAGGTTTGCCTCCACCCCTCGGTGTTCTGACGCAGATGACCTCATGGCGGTGCCGAACCAGGGACCGGGTGGCGGTCACCCAGGAGCGTCACAGGCCCGCACTGAGTCACTTCAGTCCCGATCGACGCCTTTTCTGCGTCAGATAGTCCCCGGGCCGGCCACAAGCATCCGGCCAGGATAGGTCCGTGACATAGACCCGACCGTGGATACTCTCGGTCTGGGCGGATGCAGTGCAGTTCATACCCACAGTTGAACATCCGGACACCCGGGCATCCGGCCAGGGCCCGGACCGTGCGTACCCGATCACCCTGGACCATGACCAGTCCATGAGCGAAACGCACAACAAAATATGCACAGCGAAGGCGTGGTTGTAACAATGGCCCATTCAAGGAAAGGATATGACCGACGAGATTCTCTGGTAGTCAGCATACGCGGAACACGCATGTGTACAAATGATAATTTGCGATGCCACCTCTTCCGTTCCGGTAATCTAACTAATGAAAATCTGCTGTATCAATGTCTGATGCAAGTCAGCAGGTTCCTATTCTTCGAAAAGAGCATTTAACTCTTCATAATTAAGGAAACTCAAGCATAAGAAATCGACAGTAGAGCATTTTGTCATATTAACAAAGAAAAGTGAGGAAACTGTGAACCCGGAAATAGGTGTTATGATATAGGGTAACGTATGCCGGAAATACCTCAGAACTAAGTGGATGTCATGCCGTTTCGGACGAGTCGACACACATCAAAGGCATTTCGGTGGGAAACGGAGCGCTATCAGCGGCATATCTCATTCCGTTGGCTTCACGCCGATAACTGCGCAGCCACACCGACAGACTCCCCAGGTCTGTGCCGATGCCGGACAGGGAGGATGGGCCCGAGGTATGCTCCTTGCGCTAGAAAAGGTGCGCGGGACAGTCCCGACGGACGCGATTGCAGGTTAGGTCAAAAGTTCCTCAATTCGCACTCGTGGCGTCAAGTTGGTTGCAAGCCAAGTAACAGCTCAGACCACGGTAAGCCCATTGTGGGGGGAGGGGGGGGGGGTGTATGTGTCTGGCTGAATTCACGTCGAAATACAACATACCACGGTATATCAAATAAAAATTCACAAGTCTCAAAACGTTCTGACTTCGGACGAATGCCACAGAACCCTGCTCGGTAGCTGAGTGTCGGTGGCCAGACTCTTTTCACTAGTCGCGGAGGGTTATCGGGCCGAGCCAATGGTATCGGCACTCACCTGGGCTGCGGCTCGCCATCGGCCTCGCACTCGATGATAAACGGTCGGTCGTTCTCGTCGTTTCTCTGCTTCACCTGGAAGAGCAGCTCGGTCGTCGGCGGCTGCTTGGTGATCAGCGGCGGCCTTTGAACTGTAAACAACGGGCGACACGAGGTCAGAGGAGGTCAGATTGGGTCAGACGGGGTCAACCAGCTGGTAATATGGGTGAGATGGGGCATGGTGAATCAGATAGGGTCATATAGCGGGATGGACTAGGTCACACGGGGTCAGAGAAGGTCAAGCGATGTCAAACTGTGTCATAAAGGGTAGGCCTAGGTCAAATGAGATGGCACGATGGCCAGTTAGTTCCTACAGGAGCTAAAATAGATCAGGTAGGTAGCTCAATCCACAGTCACATCAATCCACATGGCACCAGATGGAATGGGGTGTTCCCAGACGGGGTTCAGTAATGCATACCTGTACACTGTATAAGTGTATAGTGTACAGTGTGCAATGCATACCTTGAATAATGCATTCGTGGTGGTTGTGAAAGCGGTCGGATGTGTCCACTGCGCGACATTTTTTTTTTTATTGGCTCCATTCAACGTGGCACTGACTGTGAGTGGGATCATGAGTGTGAGTGGGACTGAGTCATATGTGATAAGACTACCACAATAGTCTTGTGTGTTAGTGGGACTGAGTCATATGTGATAAGACTACCACAATATTATGGTCGTAGCATAGTAACACATCAAACAGGGTTCAAATCAAACCCATGTCAACCCACCGAATCAGCAGTGAATATAAATTAATACATTAGTCTTCAGCAGGGATCAGAGTATGATGGATGGTACTTGGTAGGTGCCAATACGTTGGAATTATTTCAGCGCACGAGCAGCTAAACCAGCAGTGGACGAATCATTCGTTATCTGTACTGTTATGCGATGTTGAGTGTGAGTTGAGTGTGAGTGGAAGTGTCTTGCATCCTTCTCCAGATGACGCAAAACAGTTTTTAAATGAATAGGATTTCAATGTAATATCGTGATTTTCACGTTGAACCGAACTCCGAAGCATATGTTGAAATAGTGTCCCAAAATTGAGTTTCGTCTTGGGTATCAGAGGGGAAAATTACCCACCAAAAAGAGGGAGAGTGGAAAACTGCTGATTCGATTAGATTCAAAAAGAAAGAGAAACGACAAAAGCATGTATTTTATTATAGGGTTTAGAATGGTTGACGCTAAACCGGGCATCCACACCACTGCTCTTTCTATAGGTAAAAAATCTAGGTTTTCTTGGTTGGGAGTGGAAAACAATTTCTTAAAAATTGGTGGTGAGAGTGGAAAATGAATTTCATTTGGATGTCGTTTCCCACCCAAATCGACAAATTTTGGGACATTATGAACAACGAACAATTTGCACGTTTACAGACACGACTATACATCAGTGATTCAGTCTCAAGCGTTTTAACCCGAGCGGCTACAATCAAGTGTGAGTGCCTCACACGTGCACACGCAATACAGACAGAGCCGATAAGCAGATGACTCCGAGCCTTCACTTACTCATCAATCACGGCTATCTTTACGGCAGGAAGCACCACTCAGAGTCTTCTAAATTTGGATCCTATACGGCATAGACTGCTATCGCCAGACGTCAAAAGCAATAGCGTCATGTCTGAGCCGATCGTCAAACAATGACGTAATATGTGCCAGCGTACGATGCTGAGAGATACGAGTACGGAAGTTCCGGCGTGTGCAACCAATCAAACGGAAGCACGCGTTCAGCCCCGGCCAATCACCGCCGCCCACATATACCTACATATGACGTCGCAAAACTCTGGAACTCCATGTATCCAGTGCGTACACTGGGGATCCCGAGATGTGTGCCCGGCCCAAATAGAGCGACTCGGATAAGTGGCGTGGCCGGGGGCTGGCACAGGGGGCATGTTCCCTTCCGGGGCTCCCCGATGGACCCGTCAAACTTTTGAAACTGAGTCGGCGTATGGGATCCCACACTGGGCCACTCGGTTTCCAAGGAGCCACTCCTTCTCCCGAGCGACCTCGGGGATATTAAGGCCGCACATAGGTTCATGAGGAGACCCGCTAATCTCCAGGGTCACGGCCGACTTCTGCGGACCAAAACTGGCCTCTCAGGAGCCTCTGAGGGGTCAACGTTTCAAGATCACACCCCGTCTGGCTTTAAAAGGCCTTTGAGATCAAACACAGATCTTTAACCCGGCAGGCGGTGGGCCTACCAGCCACCTTCCGCGCGGTGGGGAGGGGGGGCATTTTTTTGCCCCCCGTATCTCCGAAACTACTGGACGGATCCGGAAAATTCAAACGGCGTTCGATAGCCCTGTCAAATTTGTCGAAGGAAACCAAATTTCATTGACCTCGGGGTCACCGATGACGTCACAGGTCAGGTCAAAGATAAAATGTTTCACCGTTCACGGGGCTTCTAGGGAAAGCGCTATAACACCGAGTAAAACGCATTTTGTCGAAAATCAGCGATAAGGCGTCAGTTGTCTAGTACATATGTTGCTATTAGAGGTCACTGGTCATACCAGGTCAGGTCACAGGTCAAGTCACCAAAGGTCACCAAGGGTCACCACATGAGCCCAACTTTACTGAGGTTATGCGATGCATGTTTTATGGCCAGTTTTTCATTTCCAACTAAATGGTGTTGGTTATAAGACCATCAGGTACGGTTCAGGTCACTTTCTGGTGGAGGTCAGGTCAAGGTCAGGTCAAAAAAGGTCAAATTTCAAAGTTGATATTTTTGCATAAAATGGGTATCGATTCGATGCAGCTCGTCACGGGGAGTCTAATGGTGGTCTTTGTTTTGCGCTACGAGGTCTAAAATTGCTAAAAATTGAGTTTGAAAATTTAACGTCATCAATTTTGAACAGTTTTTTCGCTATAACTTGGCCAAAAACAGAGGTATCGATCTCAAATTTGGTATGTAGATAGAAGGTGGTAGGGACTATCACATATATTCCGGTTTTTTGGAAATTCAAAAAACTTTTTGGATTTTTTGGCTATTATATTCAAAAAAATCTATTTTTTATTTTTGGGGGTCAAAATCCAAAAAAATCTAAAAACCGAAATAGCAGTTTTGTAGCCCTTTTGATTTCACACCTTTTGTCTGAAACATTTTTCTGTATCTCTAAAGCTGTAGGCCTGACAGCTCTTCCCGCGAAACCTTTTTTTGGGTCGAAAATGGCAAAAATGACGTCACTCTGACGTCATTAGCGGCCAACCTATCATAGCCTTTGGAAAAATTTTTGGTCACCATGTGCGCTAGCTGCTCCCGGGAGGGTACTGAAAGTTTGGTGACGATCGGCGCAGCGGTTCTCGAGATATATTGAAAAAACTAAAGGGGGGCAAAAACTGCCCCCCCCCCACCGCCTGGAAGGTTAAGAACCCCTTCGCAGGCTTCTGAGGGTCTTCGTCGGCCGCCTCTGAGGGCTCCATCGATGTCTAAAGGCTCTTCTCCAGTCTCTGAGAGCCCCACGTCGATCTCCGAGTACTAATACCATGCTGAAAGGCCACGGAGTTTTTTTTTGGGGGGGGGGCACATGCAAGTCCCTAAAAACCTTCTCTAGCCTCTTATGAGCGCCTGAGACTCTATATGGGCTCCTATGGGCTGTGGAAACCGGCTCCTATGGCTCCTATGGAAACCGGTAGCTGAGGAACCATGCATATAAGGGCTCCTATGAGGGCTCCAATTGACAAATGATGACCTCACATCAAGCCCTGAACTCTATCACGGGGGAGGAGCAGTGGTGACGCCCCACGACCAGTCCGAGGTGGCGACACTTGGCGACACTTGGCAGTGGAAGCAGTCCAGAAGGGGTCGCTCCCAGCCCCCATAGGTGGCGCTAGCTGTCCAGGCAACGCGACACGGCACTGCAGCGCTGGGCCGTGGTGGCGGTGGTGGCGACGCAACGCATGCCGATGCCCGCATGAATGCAAATGGGTCTAGTTAGTGTGCTTGAAGTTGCAACTCTACGGACAAAACTACTATACGGACTGGTAACTGGGCATCAAAGTACACTGTTAGCCTAAATCATGGATGGAAATAGCTAATAACATGACGGTAGAGGGGAGGCAGGGTGGCACACATACTGATTGAGGGAGAGCTGTGAGAAGCAAGGGATGTGTCTGCACAGATCGGCAGTGGGAGGGTGTGGCATTAACAGCGAGAAAAAAATACCGACAGCGTAGGAGCTGGGCAGGCACCAAGCAGGCAGTGAGGGAGGCACAAAGGACAGTGAATGTGCCAAAGATGATGGGACGGTGCCGGGGGTTGTGGCGGCGGGTCGTTACTGAGGGTGACGTAAACTCACGTGCTATCGCCGTCTGTACGCAGAGAAGCAGCACCAGGGGAAGGGCCGCCACCAGCGGCGTCACGCGGCTGCTGAAGAACATGTTGAAGACGTGGCAGGCCTGCAAACAGGGAACAGAGGTGTCAGTGGAGGAGCCCGGATTACAGAGGAGTACACTCGAGGGATGAGAACACAGGTGGAAACAGAAGCAAAGATAGTTTGACGTAAGCAATGAGCCTGAGACCAATTATGAGCACTCATCGTAACAACAAATACATAGGGGGCTGACAGAGACACCTTGGTAATCGGCATGGGCAATCAACTGAGCGTAACTAAGTGGCAAGTGCACCGTCAGCCCATAGCTCATAGTTATATGAGCGCAGTCTCATATCAATATGAGACTCGTTATAAATTCAAAATCCTGACTAACGCATAAACGAGGAAGTAGCACACAACCACCGTACTCGTGAGAGTAATGTCACTGTAACACTAACCTATCGGTTCACTGAGCTCCATAGCCCAAATAACCACGTCGCGGCGATCTGTACCGTCATGTCGGCTTCTACCAAATGCCTGCTGACAGATCCTCTGATTGATGCGGGAACAAATCATACAGCAGCGCGGTGCAGCAGATAACGAGGCCAATTCACCATCACAGTGCGGCCGACACCGCTCTGAGTTGGCCGTCAGCCCAACGAGCCGAGATTGTCAGCGCATCTGGGGACCCATTCGGAGCGTTTGCGTCTCGGCGCCACCAAAATGAGCTATCAGCGGTATTACAGCCGTCACGCTCGATTATCTCCTCAAGGGGTTATAATGATTAGCATTACGGTTCTTCGCTACCAGCCACTGCCGTGATAATCCTCAGCAGCTGAAGTGATATCACGGGCTTCCCTGCCAAGCGGCCCGGGATCGTCCCACTCATCGGCCCACTTAAGTGGTTGGCATCAAAAACGAACCAACGCCACGCCCAAAAGAGCCAGCCAACCAAAGGAGGCATCACTATCGACCCGAGGAGTAAGCCAATCCACCAGCAGCGCCCGACGCCGGACAGTGTCTCTCAGCAACTCATTCGAGAAACTCGGAGAGGCATTCAAGCACTCCCACGCGTGTGGACAAACTCTGGCACTCCCCAAAGTCGAGGCACACTCCGGCACTCCCCAGGGAATCACTCCGGCACTCTCCAATTCGTGTCATCAGACAGCGCCAGCCCATCCACGTGACGAGTGCGCTAGTCGATGAGGGTCGCAGCCCTCCCCTCCCTGCCTGATCGCTAGGTGGCTGCTGACCGGCAGAGGTTCGTCAGAGGGCGCTCTGGTGCGGGTGTGGTGGACCCTTGAAGCAGGGGAGTGCTCGGCCTCGAGCAGTGGCGGGGACGGGGCGCGGCCGGCCGGCCGGTCTGCTCGAACTCTGGCTGCACGCACCGGCGGCGGCGGCGGCGGCGGCGGCGGCGCCGTCAGGGCGGGGGCGGGGGCGGGGACATCGATCAGCGGGCTGTGAATCAGCCGGTACGGGCGGGGCCGGGCCGGGCCGGGCTCCGGAATGGAAGGCGCCGGTACATACAGCGAGCTAGTCTGTCCCATTGAAAACGGCCCTGACCAGTAGCGGGTCATTGACGTGCTCACTGCTGATGACGGCTGACGAACTGAAGCACGGTCACTAACGCACCGAACGCCTGCCGGACACTAGAACACTGAGTGTTCTGTTCTGTTCACGCAATGTGCCGACATCTCCCATAGTGCACAGTTCAGAAACAACCACTTATGTGGATCTTCCTATAGGCGCAAGATGTAGCGTCGGCAAATGCACTTGTAGCAGAACAATCCTGTATTAAGAAAACCAACGTCATGCGAGAGCATCTAATATCCATACGTGCAGAACATGGAATAACGTCATCTATTCCAAGACCAGATGGCCAGTAGAGCGGATTGATTACAGAATGTTATGGTCAGAACGAAAATATGTGATATGGTGTGAAGCGGTGACGCGTCATGGATGCTTCACTGAATGAAGGTAATATTACGAACGATATTCAAAACACAGATTGCTTGTCCAGACCTGACGGGAAAACAGCATAAAAAAATAGATTGAGTTGAAAAGAACCCAATAAGTCAACGAGGTAGGTCGAATCAACTAAGCAAGCACGCGGCTTCAACAAGTCCAGAAAGTACAGCATTTTAACCGCTAAAGTTTCCTCGCAAAGAAGTTTCAGCGTTAATATTTCACTGCATCTCGAGCAGAATTGCGTCCAGAGGAGTATATAAGCTGCAGCGTGCAACGAACTCATCACGAGATGAGCACTCATAAGTTGACGAGTGACGCTGCCGCCGCTGTCAGTCTCGCCCATCACCTCAGTCGTGGCAGTGGTAGTGGTAGTGGTACGAGCGAAGCGGAGCGTGCCTGTCGTGCCGACGGGCCCGCTCGACTGAAGGCCTAATAAGCGCGGGGCGGCACCTCTCTCCGGGCGGTACCGGCCGGGACCCGGCCCGCTACGACCATCAGCTTACAGGGCGGCCGGCTGCCCCGGAACGGGTCGATAGGGACCCCCGTACCCGGCGCTGGCAGGGTCATCGGTAATAGCAACGTCATCATCAGTCGGTGGAGAACATTGAGCAGCCCAGGCACTGGTGTTCATCATTCTGCACTGATCACGTAATGAGCAGCACATGCACCACGCCAATCCACAAAAATATACACCATGGCCATTGAACTAGCAACAAGCAAGCTTCAGCTCTCCAGCACACCAACTCTCAGGCACGTGTCACGGCTAGCGAGGCGACACGCGCCGACACCAGAGTGACCGCTGTGACCCCGTGCGTGTCAGACGCTGCCATTCCAACTCCTTCACCTTTAGACAGACTCTGCGGCCAGCGGCGGATCCAGCCGTCCCGCCCGCCTGTCATGACAGTTAAACATTCAGACACCGCGAAACTGGCAGTGGCCGACAGTTTATGACATATAGCGCGTGACAGTGACTGACAGTTTATGACAGCGACAGCAGGCTGACAGCCCGAGGAAAATGTCTCCAGACGGCTTGCATCAGCCGACCTAGAAACTCCATCCGTAGAAACAGCGTAATAAGGATAGAGTTGAAGCTAGCGAAATTATTAAACCCGTCTTCGGAAATCCTACGGAATTCCTTTCCTAATTGGAAATGGCAGTGAATTTCTAGAAATGAGCCTTCAAAGTAGCAGATGCCCAAATGCATAAAATCCTTTTAAAAAACCATCAGACACTGCTAGGAAAATTCGCTTACAAGTTACAGAATGGTTTAAATTAGTTCATCGAAAAAGTAGGCTCTGAATATAAGCTACGTGAGCCCTGCCAACACATGGAGTACACCCTAGTACCAGCTTTACGGAATTAAAACAAACCTTATTCGTCTATTCAAGTGAATTTTCAGAAGACCGACAAGCAACAAGGATATGCAGCGGCAAAACACGAACTCGGAACTGACACCTAAATGCAGCAGGAACTAGGAAGAGATTGATAGTGTTGTTAACCAGCGAAATGCAAAAGCTGTTTAACTCACAATATTGGAAACCAAATAAACATCTGAAAGTGAAGGCTAATTTGCACCGCAATCAGCACCGAAACGTTCTCCAGAGTGGCAGGTCTGCCTTCATGTCGTAATGCATGACAATTCACAGACCGTTCACAATGGATCAATCCATTGTTGATGCAATCAGCGGATACGGTGACTTATTGACGGCTTCTGCCTGTGTGAGGGATCAGCCATCTCTGCTGGACTCTACCATGCAACCCCATTTCATCACGAGTACCCAGCCTCATTATAATGAGAGGAGGGCGCAGGGGTCCTCTGGAGCACCAGTCGACAGCCACCTCCCAGCCGCCCAGTGAGCCATCAACAACGTGCCAGCTAATCACGCGCAATAATCGAGCTCGGAGGCGGACAAACAGAGGGACATGAGCTAATTTGTCCGGTCGGCGGCCGGCCCCTGACGTCTCGATGGATGGCCGACCGGTGGCTGATGGGGAGGATAGCGGGGAAGGGAGGGATAGAGGACTGGCTGACGGTCCATTGACGACTTCTGGCGGAGGCGGTGGGGAAGCAAGGCCATGTGGTGGCAGTGGGGAGGGGCAGAAGCGGCGGACGGTAGGAGGAACACCCTATGAGTCATCGCCATCGGTCACGGCCGCAAGGCACGGTAGCCGCCGCGGCGGCCAGCGACATCCCAAAGCCGATCGAAGGGAAATCGACCATAGCGAGTGGAGGCAGCCATTGGGTCAAGCCCAGCATGTCGTCGTCATCGTCATCGTCACTGTCTACATCACCGGTGCCGCTACAGAGAGCCGACTCGGCTCGATTGGTCCCCTTTGGCCACCACAAAGACTCCGGAGCAAAAACAGAACAGAAGCGGTGACAGGCAGTTTTTGATTGAAGTCGATTATTGATTTATGAATCGACGATTTGATTACAGTCGAGCTCTGCGCCGCCAGAGTCAAGAATGTCCCGGTGCAATCAAAATGGCAAATGGATGACAGCTGAAAAAGACCGATGGGGAAAAAAATTGTGGCAGTGAGAGAACAAATAAAGTTTCCGACAAAAAGATAACCGAGGTCCGAGGCAGGATTATTGCAGGATTTCGGGATAAGTAAAGAGACTAAAAAGATCAAGTCCTTCGAAAGCTTTCACATTAAGGATCAACAAAGCCAACTAAAAAGCTCCAGACCCGATTGATTGGATCTTCACTGACGCATCAAGGAAGCAACCAAAGCCCAATGATGTCTCAATCAAAGAAAACGACGCCACCATATCCTCTAACCCTTGAGAGATTCGCTGAGCCCTTTCGCACTGGTTCCAGCTCGTGGCAGCCGGGACCGGACGGCGAGTTACGATCCATCATTGGGCGACCGGTCAGAGTGGACGAACATAAAGCAGGGACACGGCGCCGGCCGCTGTCGCCAGCAGCTCGGAGTCCACGAGCGAGCCCGCGGTGGAAGCTACTGTCAATGACTTTGACGGGGCCCGAGCAGCTTCCGAGGGCTTTAGGGTGTGTTCCGGACCAACAGACCACTGAGAGCTTTGGGTGGTTTCTAATCGTCGCGAGGTTGTGAGTGTTCATGTCATGACTATGAGTTAGGGTATAAAAGAATATA